GGCATTTCTAGAAATCTGTGGGAGTCTCATTAGAGTAAAGAGAAAGCTTGTACACAAAATACTGAAGAGAGGCTGGCTGTACCTTGAATGATTTCCTTGTCTTAGAATTCAGAAGTAAGAAAGTCAGCAACTAGGGATATATATTTACATGTTTATCTAAAAATATTTGGGAATGGATTGATACGGATTGGCTTTGCCTATAAGTTGGACTAATAGCTTGGAGGTTTTGATTAAAATACACAGTATGTTAGGAAAAAAAGAATCTTGCTGGAACAATTGGGTATCATATGCAGAAAAATGAACTTCAAACAATACCTTACACCTTATACAAAAATTAACTCTTGAGGAATGATAGATCTAAATGGAAAACATAATACATAGGAGAAAATATTTGTGACCTTGGGTTAAGCAAGAAATTCTTACCTGTGACATCTTCTAGCTATGACATCAATTATAAACTTGTTCTGTGAAATACACTGTAGACAGTTTCAATGAATATGCCAAGGTAAACACAAGTTTTAAACTGGTGAACGAAGTAGGGGTATTTGTAGTTAGATTAGTAGATTAATTGGAACTTTAAGAAATTCAGGTGTGGCGAGATGATAAAAAAGTGATCGAGAGGTGGGAATGGACTTTGTTTCCTTGGAGGTATATCATTTTCACACTCTTCGCCATCAGATTTGTTTTTAAAAATTGTTTTAGACAATCAGTGTAATCCATCACATAAATAAAACAAAAGACAAGAACCAGATGATCTTATCAGTCGACGAAGAAAAGGCATTTGACCATGTCCAACACCCATTCATGATAAAAACTCTCAACAAAATAGAAATAGAAGGGAAATTCCTCAGTATAATTAAGGGCATTTATACAAAGCCAACAGCCAACATCATCCTAAATGGAGAGACTTCGAAAGCATTCCCCTTGAGAATGGGAACCAGACATGGTTGCCCTTTATCACCACTCTTATTCAGCATTGTGCTGGAGGTCCTAGCCAGAGCAATTAGGCTAGAAAAAGAAATAAAGGGCGTCCAAATTGGTAGAGAAGAAGTCAAAGTATCTTTATTTGCAAATGATATGATCTTATACACAGAAAACCCCAAAGATTCCAGAAGAAAACTACTGGAACGAATAGAAGATTTCAGCAAACATTCAGGATACAAGATAAACATAAAAAAATTAGAATCCCTTACACCAACAAAGAATCACCAAATCAATACCATTTGCAATACTTCCCAAGAAGATAAAATACTTAGGAAAAAAATCTAACCAGAGATGTAAAAGATCTGTACAATGAAAACTACAAGACACTACTGCGAGAAACCAAAAGAGACCTCCATAAGTGGAAAAACATACCTTGCTTATGGATAGGTAAACTCAACATTGTGAAAATGTCAGTTCTACCCAAAGCGATCTATAGATACAGTGCAATCCTGATCCAGATTCCACCAGCATTTTTTAATGAGATGGAGAAACAAATCACCAACGTCATATGCAAAGGGAAGAGGCCCCAAATAAGTAAAGCATTACTTAAGAAGAAGAACAAAGTGGGAGGCCTCACACTACCTGATTTTAGAACCTATTAT